GAACGAATAACTCCATTCCATGAATAGACGCGCATCTTGCGGCTGCGTGGGTTTTTGGATCGCGTGCAGTCTCATTGCTGCCGTCAGTTTTTGTTTGCGCCTCTGCGTCTCGTGGGATCCGCTGCCTGCGTGCGCGCACAGTACTTCTTTCTTGCCTTCTGACGCGTCTCTGGCTGCTGCGAGGGACGAGAGCGGGTTTGTGTTAGGGTGAGGCGCGCGCACGATAAGTTAGGCGGCGGTTTCCTCTTGTGCCTGAGTGGAGGGGGGAGGAAGAGGCGAGAGCGCGCACACGCACATACGCACGCACGCACGCACGCGTCGGCGTGTGTTCCGTTTACGGCTATTGTGTGGTTGTCATGTCCGAGGGGCTGCTGACGCAGTGGCGCGACCGCGTGGTGGAGGCGGAGACAGAGATCAGCGTCGTGCAGGAGGACATCGGCGCCCTCTTGAACCGGCGCAAGGAGATCAAGCAGGACATCTCCCGCTACGATAGGCTTGTGCAGCGGGAGAAGCAGGAGATGCTGAAGCGGCTGGAGGAGGTTGAGGCGCAGGCGCAGGAGCTGGAGGACGGGTGCCAAAAAACGCTACAGCAAAAGACGCGTGTGGAGGAGGCTTACGTGCAGACGCTGGACAACTACGAGTCCATGCACGACAGTGTGAAGGAGATACAGCGAGGGGAGCAGCAGCTGCAGGAGCGGGAGGACGTGGAGGCCGTGCTGCAGCGGGAGAGCCTCGCGTGGGCGGAGGAAGAGCACGGCCTGCGCACAAAGCTGCACGCCCTGCAGAGTGCCCTTAAGGCGGCGCGGCGGGAGCGCCACGAGGAGGTGACGGCGCTCGACACCGAGCTGGCGGCCGCGGAGCGAGAGCTGCTGCAGGTGCGCGGCGAGCGTCAGGGGGAGATGCAGGCGCAGCACCAGCAGCTGCAGCCCACAAAGCACGACCGTCAGGGGACGCCGCACGCCTCCACCCAGCGCGCCGCCTCCGCGTCGGCGGAAGCCAACAAGAAGGAGCAGCAGTTCATCGCGGCGAACGCATCTGCGAGCATCCCGACCCGCCCGCTGCGGTCTTGCCTGAAGAACACAGGCGCCGCGACCGGCAGTTCCTTCAACGCCGCCGGTAGTAACAGCGTTTACCAAAATGCCTCTGCGCCACACTACAAATCCGCGCCGGCGTCAAGGGCCGTATCGCAGTCGTTGGTAACAGGTGATGAGGCCGTGGATGGCGGCGTGGGCTCCACCCCTGCGACGCAGCATCGGGCGTATTCGTACGCCGCAGGAAAGAAGCTAGGCGGCACGAAGCGTGACATCCTCCCACTGGGCGATGCGACGAACCGGTAGAGTGCCGCTGCTTCATTTTTTTTTTCCTTTACTTTTCCTGTTCCTTTTCCCCTTTTACTGGGTGGTTACTTTTCACAGTAAGATGCAAACAGGACGTTGAGCGAGATATATAGATGGA